CAAATGGAAAGCCTTTTGGCTCAGCTGTTTCCACGGCCTAATGCTCTGTTGGGGAAAGGCTCCACCTTCCTCAGCCTAGCTGGGAACGAGATTTTCAGAGGCTAAATGTGCCCACTGTTAGCCAAGCGATGATGACACTTACGATGCCACCTCTGGGAGCCTGAAGTCCGTCTGCCCGTCTCCTGTCAACTCAAACAGCAGAGAGCTGCCCCTCAGCAGCCCCCAGCTTGTCCCAACATGGCAGGAGAGGCTGCTCCCTGCCCTGGGAGCCGTTGGCTCCGACTGACAAGGGCCACCAGGCACTTGCTTTGAAGAATTTCCTCACCCATCTGGCCTGAGGGTGCTGAGTCGGCATCCATTTTCTAACATAGCCTCTGCTTGGTATGGTCTGTGACATCAGCTCTCTGATTCCACTAGGAAATAACCCAGGTCCCTAAAACTGGGCAACCTGGGAATATGGGAAAGGTCCCCTTTACTGATGTAGGGAGAGCTGCCTGGGGAAAGCAAGTGGTTGTTCTTATAACTAATGACAAGCGCAGTGAGGGCCCAGGCCCTGGAATGTCACCGCCTTGGGGATGCTCCAGTTCCCTCAGGGGCTGCTGCAGGAGACTAGCGGCCCAGTCTCTCTCCTAAGACTATTCAGTGAGGAAAGATGACGTGAAGGGGTGGGGACAGCAGCATGCCCCAGGGAAAGGAGGGTCCCAGGGGGCTGCAGCTGCGGGAAATCATTTAGTCCTTTTCTCTCAGTTCAGTTTTGTGCTCATTACTATAATAAAGGCTTGTTTTCCTTCTGATTGCCAAAGTGATGCTTACAAGTTCACTGTGGAAAATTAAGATAAAAAAATAGAGACAAAATGCTCTTATTCCCACCAGCCCCGATATTTGATATATGAGGTGTTGGTATTTTATATACATAAAAAGGATAGAGTAGAAAGAAGGGGTAAGAACACTGGCTTTGGAGTCAGGCCAGTTTGAATCCAGCTGCCCCCTCCCAAGTGGCTTCCGGCAAATTGTTCATCTCTGAGACCCAGTATCCTGGTTGATAAACATATCTCATGGAACTGTTTGGGGAACTATCTGAGAAATACTCATCAAGTTTCTAATGCAATTTCTGGCACCCAGTAAGCCTGCAATAAATGTCAATTATAATTTTGTGGTTGACAAATTCTTTATTGCAAAAAGTTTCTTACTTTGCTCCATTGGCCACCCAAGAGGTGGTGGTCCCTGCTCCACTGAAACAGAACCCTGCCTAGCCTGGTCATCCTCCCACCAGGGACTCCCCGAGGTCAGAAGAGAAAAGAAAGGAAGTGACTCTGGCCAAACCCAAGTATGGGCCCAGGAGGCAGCGTTTGTTTGCCATCAGCTTTGCCATCAGCGACCGTTCAGATCACACCTCCAAGACCGTGCATCCCCAGAGCCCCTGGGAACAGTCAGCAGGCGTCCTTTCCAAGAGGGACACATGCTTCTGCCTGCTCTTCTGCACCGGGATGGTGCCAGGGCAGAGGGGCCCAGTCGGGAATCCCCTGCAGCGGGAGAAACAGGGCGTCAGCAGGACCAGCAGCTCACTCCCAGGGTCCCCCCCATTTTCAGGGAGCTTGGCTTTGGTTGAAAGGGCTGGCATTTCATACCCAAATCGTAAAAAATCCACAGCTTCAGTACATCGAGATGACACTGCATGGCTTTAGCCTCATGGGGAATAAAAGGTTTCTGTTTGGGGTGGTGGTGCGGCTCCTGGCACCTATGGCCGATGAATTGTTCCACTTGCTTGGGTTGGGAGGAGACACTGGCTGAAGGTCCCACAGCCACACTGTGTTGCGTGATCTGCCCCCTCAACTCCTTGGACTGAAGACCCCTCCCCCGGAACTATAAGTGGACCCCTCCCCAAAGCTGACTACACATCTGTCCTTAGGTTTTATTCTCGGCCTCGACCCCGCCCTCCTTCCATTGCTGTGTTGTGGTGCGGCTCCCTCATTTTGGGCCTTCGTTGTTGTTCTGCCTATCCTTCGGAGCACAGCTGTGAGTTCGGGTATGCCTGTGTCTGTGTGTCTGTCTCCCCAGCTATCTCGGAGCTCCCTGAGGGCGGGCCTTGCCTGACCCAGCCTTCCAGAGCCAGGCTGGCTGGTGCAATGAGGGCACGGCTGCACTTGTTGTCAAACTGTTGAAACCCTTCAGTGCTGGTTGGGAACAGCTGCTGCTCTGAGCCCCCTGGGTGTCCCCTGCCACTGGCTCAAACACCTGGCTCCCTTCCTCAGGACGTCCAGACAACTAAGGGTTAAGGGCCCTGGCCCCAGCTTAGTCTGGTGTGTGTTCTGCTGGTTAGTGCTGCTGCCCTGCTGGAGGGGTTGGAGATGGTGGGGGATTGAGGTTGGGGTGGGGTTTGGTTAGAGTGATAGGGATGGGTAGCTTTCAGTGGATAGAAGGTTTTAGGAGGAGGAAAACCATAAGAAAAGGCTTAGTGTCAGCAATGAAGAAGAGTGCCGGAAGGATAGTAAAGACTGAACTAACCGCAGATGAAGATCCTTGTTTTAATTTTCCGACAACAGCATCCCTGCTTTAAGTATTGCACGGTTTGATGAGAAAGTCTCAGCTTCTCACTCAGTATGCTTTGGCGGTGTTGTTTTGTTTTGAGACTTTACTTGTACAATCTATTGGGCTACGTCTTTCCAGACTGAAGCATCTCCATCCTTTGGATGTCTTTCCAGATGTGAATGAGCATCCTTCCCCTGGGGTAGGAACTGGATGTCCATGCCATGGTTCACACTGAAGAACCAGGCCCTGGACTTGGAGACGTGCTCGTAAAGTTTAACAATCGGTTCTTGGGGTTGGGGGGAGGGTGTCTTGATTTATAGCCTTTGCCAATTTCTGTGTGTAAATACTCCCACCAAGGGCGACTTAAAGTTACCAAGGATTTAACAACTGGCTCGCAAAATTCCTCAAAATTTAACAATGAGCTCCAGTGAGCAAGTGTCAGCCAGCTCCAGCCCACCACTCACCACCACCTGGATGGTTCTCTCCAAGTCCTGTACGACCCTCAGCCTCGTGAGGTGAGCTCCAGCCACAGAGGTCTTTTCAATCATCCTATGGTCTTCTTTTCAGGAATCAGCACCATTTTTTTTGTCCTAATTGAAAAATTTTTATTTAAATGGGTTATCTTAAATGGGGGCTATTTTTTTCCCTAACTTGCCATACAGCTTTTTTAGATGGATTTTAATAACTGTTGTTTTTTAATAGTGTTAATAGCTATGAATTTAACTGTTTCCTCTAAACTATAAGCTTTATAACAACAGGGACCACTTTCTGAAGCATCTGGAACGTATTGGGCCTTCAGCAAATATTTGTTGGATGGAGAGATGGATGGATGCTTTGACTTTAGATCTTTCTCCCTCTCTCTCTCCTCTGTTTCCCTTTTTACTTGATTCTAACCAGGAGGCCGCCTCCCAGCAGCACGGGCAGGATGGAGAAGGTGCTGTTCATGAAGCTCCTAGAAGGAAGTATCCAGTCTCAGCCCGAGTCCCGAAGGCTCTGCTCGAAGGTGCCCCACAGCTTCCCGCCTGGTCCAGAGAGAGATCTAGACATGGAGGAGACAGCTTGGCACAGGGGATGGCTCCCCCCGAACCCCCTCAGAAATCACACCTTCAGGCCAGATTGAGCTGAGTCGGTCTGTGTTTTTAGCATTTTGAACTAAAAACATCCAAGTGTTCCTTTGCTGAGGGGGAATAAGTAGAAATCAAGCCCAAGAAAACGTCTCAAGAGGCAGCGCATCGGCTGGAATAGGTCCCATCGGCAGTCGCTCCCCAGGTCAAGCAGAGCTCAGGCTGCCCGACCTTCATGAATCAAGCGATGTGCTGACGGACCTGGTGTGCACACCGAGCACGTGTCCTGTCTGTGTGCTCACAATGATGCTTGGCCGACCCCCCGGACATTCGCCCCCAAACCTCAGTCCCTGTACTGACGGAGCAGCCCTCGGCAAACGCTGTTGCATTCAGGGGCCTCCGCACTCAGAGAGAGAGTGGTGGGCCACACTGAGGCTGGAGCTGTGTCATTTCGGATCCTTTCCTGGCTGTTTTCTCCAGGAGTGCTGACTGCAGCGTGTGGCTTAGCCATCTCACAGTGTGTTGGCTCACAAATCATGCTCTCCAAATGCTCCTTGGGAAGACTGGGCAAGCTAAATCCAATGGCACCCTGGGGAATGTTGACAGTGCCTCACCTGCTGTCATTTACCCAGTGGTCGTCTGTCAACTGGGCTCAGAATAAACCAAAGGTGTATTGTATGCCATCCCTGGGAGCTAATTTATTGAGTTTCCTGCTGGTTTCTCTGCCAGACACAGCTGTGAGTGGCAGCTTTGACCCTTAGAGCCTTTGGGTCTTTTTCAATGAAATCGGGGGACCAGATGATCAGTGTCCATGTGACAGGTCCCACTGGGCAGGGACCCTTATTTCTGAGGGCCCAACACGGCCAGTGGACAGTAGAGGATTACAAATTGTTGGGAAACCACAAAGCCCATGTTCCAATAGGGCGAACAGAGAGACTCTGCAGATAAAATGTAAGCAATAATAAATAAACTTTAAAAATGCTGCTACTTTTTGAGCTTTCACGCTGTCTAAGGGCGAACGGCTCCCCACAGGTGTTGTGTGACTGCCCTTGATGTCAGACATTGTGCTAAGAGCTTTACAGAGGTCATTTATGCTTTGCAACCCTGTGGGGTTTCATCCTCATTTAATAGACAAGAAAACTGCGGCTCAGCCAGACTAGCCCCACGTGCAGGGCCAGCAGCCTGGACACGGCAGGGCTGGGACTCAGCTGCCAGGTGCACTGGCTCCAAACCCCAGGCCTGTGGCCACCGAGCAATGACCCCACTCCTGGGGTCCTCAGGTGAGAAGTGTCACCTCTCAGTGCCTGCGGTGTGACAGTTTTGTCCAGCTAAGCTGAGCAGAGGCACTGGGCAAACTCTGGCCCAGAGTGTGGTGGGGCAAGTGCAGCACTGGCGCCAGAATAACTACCTTCCAATCTGCTCCGCCCTCCTGGTCGATGGCCCTCGTCTCTCACCTCCTTCCCTGCCTCAGTTTCCTCATCTGTAAAAGGAACACACAAATGATGATGGTACCAACTTTACTGGACTCTTCTGAGGAATAAAGCGGTTAAAAGGGTGACGTGCTCAGGACAGTAAGGAGCCAGTAAGTGTGGGCAAGGATTATTTGAAAACGGGAGCCAGTTTAAGATTAGCGAGTGATGCTGGAGCCGTTAGTTCCTTTCCTCTGGAAAAAAACCCGGTGGCCCTCTCAGATGAGGTGTGCCTACCGCCCATTCCACAGGTGGCAGGGACATACGCCAGGCTGGGTGTGACACTGACTCTGACACCCAGGCATCTGGTTCTCCCTCACTCGAGTGGGATGGTGTCTGCGTAGGAGAACTCTAACCATCGGATTCAAAGAAACCAAGAAGAAAGCGACATCTCTCTGGCCTTGGAAGAATGCAGCCCGCTCTGGAGGACCATGCCCGTTTTGCTTCCCTTGACATCTCCATAGCAGGGGTAAGCAAGTCAGGGCTTGGGCCCAATTGTTAGAGGAACAGGAGGGCTTCTGGCTGCCCTCTGAGTCATCCTGCTAAGTCTGTTGACAGGAAAGGGCCGGGCTGGTGCAGCAGAACTGAGAAAGGGCTGAGGGCCCTGCTGACTGGTTCCTACCGAGAGAGGATGGGAGCTCTCGGATCACAGGACCTCTTGGGAAACAACGGGTAGGAGAGGAAGGTTCTATTGGGGCAGGAGGGGAGGGCTCCTGTGATAGGGAGACCCAGGGGCAATGCCGGGCCTTCAACTCGCGCCTAGGACCTTTCAGAGCTTCCCTAGCACTTAATTCCTTCACCTCCCCCACCCTTCCAGAAACCCAGTTCGGCTTCACAGTTGAGTCCCTTCTCGGACAATCCTGGAAGGCAAGAGAAGGAAGAAAAGAGCGAGGAAGGAGGGAAGGAAAGAATCTGGCAGAAACGCCACATTGTGGACAGAGCTGGGGGTGGGTAGGAGGAAACTGGAGAAGGGGAGAATTTAGACAGAATCCAAAGAGGGGCAGACAAATTCCACACAATGGAATATCACTCAGCAATAACAAGAAAAGAGCTAGCAGGCCACGCAAAGACACAGAGGAACCTTAAATGCAGGCTGCTAAGTGAAGAAGCCGATCTGACAAGGCTACAGACAGCAGGATTCCGACTATATGATATTCTGGAAAAGGCAAAATTGTTGAGTCAGTAGGAAGACCTGTGGTTGCCAACGGCGAGGGAGGATGAATGGTTGGAGCACAGAGGATTTTGGGGATCGGAAAAACTACTCTGTATGTTACTGTAATGTGGATATTTTCATTATACTGTCTGTCAAAACCCATGGAATGTATAAAGAGTGAACCCTAATGTAAACTGTGGACTTCAGTTAATAATAATGTACCAGTATTGGGTTTTTTAAAATAATTGGTGCATCTTTTATTCACAAATAAAAGCTGTACCAAGATGTTTGCACATTTGTACAAAGTTTGGATGCCCCTAGAAAATGCACAATGGTCAGAAAACAGAGCCTGTCGTGCAGAGAATGCCACACACATTGGCAGGCTCACCCCTGGTCTGCATTTGGCAGGATGTGTCCCCTGAGGACCCCCAGCCTGCCCAGGGCACCCCCTAGAAGGAGCCCAGCCTGAGGGACATCTTCCATGGAAAACCATAAAAATCACCAATGGTAACACACGCATCAGACTAATGCACGATGTTAACAATAGGGGAAACCGTACAGGGGAGGGGAGTATGGGAACTCTCTGTGCTTTCTGCTCAAGTTTTCTATAAACTTAAAACTGCTCTTAAAAAAAGTCCAGGGGCTGGCCCAGTGGTATAGTGGTTAAGTGCGCGTGCTCCACTTCAGTGGCCCAGGGTTCATGTGTTCAGATCCTGGGCACGGACCTAGCACTGCTCATCAAGTCTGTGATGCTGTGGCGGCATTCCACATACAAAATAGAGAAAGACTGGCACAGAAGTCAGCTCAGGGACGTCTTCCTCAGCAAAAAGAGGAAGATTGGCCACAGATGTTAGCTCAGAGCCAATCTTCCTCACAAACAAATAAATAAATAAAGTCTATTAATTAAAGGCAACGACAAAAAACAAAGCAAAACAAAGAAACCCAAAACAGCAAAAGCCCTGAGGGCTGTGGCTCGAATAAGAACAGCTGCCCCTGCAGACAGGTTTCCTGAACCACTGCTGGATGTCAGAAGCAGAAAAGCGAGAGCACTCTGCATCTGACATGTGGCTGCCGCAATTCAGCTCGCCAGCCGGTGGCCCAAACCAAATGACCTTCACAAAGGTTATTTCACCAGATTTCTTTTACCCCATCTCACTTAAGAAGCCTTTTCTTTCCATAGTTTTGGTGCAAAAACCAATTGGCTAAAAGGAGTTGGGGCGACTGGCTGGTGGATGCAGGGGGCGGCACCAAAAAAGGTCTGCCCCCACAAAGTGGGCAAAGGTCCCTAAAAGTGGGGAAGCACCCTTCCCACCTGCCATGACTCTTCATTCTAGCTTTTGGTCAAGGCTCCGCGTCACAGGTGTCCTGCCGCCAGAGGCACAGTCTGAGCCAGGGGAGAGACGCCCCCTCAGAGTGGGCACGGCTGATGCCCTGGTTTCCTCAGAGCCCCAGAAAAGGGCTTCTTTCCTGTGCCCACAACCAGTAATGGTCCTTGGAACCAGCTGACCTTTGGTGGAAAATGGGCGCCGTTCACTGGCCATCTGGCCCGGGGCCCAAGTCATCTGGTTCACACTGCACAGTGACGGCGGTTTCTGGGTACTGGTCCACATCAGGTGTTCAGTGTGGATGGAAGAATACACCTCACCTTCTGTGGTGAACTGGAAGAACCCAGGTAATCCAGGCTCACGACTCACACGATCACATCAGTGTTGATACTTCCACGGCATGAGTGCTGGCAAACTAGACTGATATGGGCCATGGGCTTTGGACTGAGTTTGGATTCCATCTATTTACTTACTGGTTGTGTGAGCCTTAGGAGGTTAAGCTTTCTGAGCCTCAGTTTCTTCAGCTGTGAAATGAGCATTATAATCCTGGTCTCATGGGGACCTACGGGAGAACTCAACGTGGTTAAGGGAAAGATGCCTAGTGGCAGTTAACTGTGCTTGTCCCCCTGTCCACACCTCCCCCCAGAAGCAGACCCTCCCTCGATGCTCCCACACTTAGCTTCTGATGGTCCAGAATCAACGATATTCCTCCGAATCAACAGAGGGAGGCTCTGGGCTGGGAATCTCATTGAAAACCGGAGTGGGAGGGAGGGAGGGAGGAAATGCTATCATGCTCACAGAATTCTTGTCCAGCACAAGGGAACCTAGGCTAAGCGACCAGAGGCACAAATGGTGCGCCAACATAACAGACAGTCTAGCAAAGGGGTCAGAGGCTGGAGGATGGGCTGGGAGGGAGGCGATCACAAAAAGATTTTATACAACTCTCGGGGGTCAATAGGGGTGCGAGAGGCACCTCTCTAAGGCAGGGGATGTAAAGGAGGCGGGGAGTGGTGCATTGTGTTCAGGACCCCGCAGGCCACAGCCTCACAGATGCATCAGAAGGGGGTGCAAAATACCCGCAGCCGGGGAACGCAGCCCCAGGCTCTCACTGCAGCCAGGAAGGTTCACCTCTGTTTATTTTTTCAAAACAAAACTAAAAATCACCACTCAGAACACTTGAGAAGAGTGCTCCATCCCAGTTCAAAGCTTTATGCAATCTGCAGTCAGAACATCACAGACCGGAGGTCAGAGACCAGAGCTTCTGGCCTTGCTCCACAGGCCTCGGCAGCCTGAAATGGCTCTCCTCTGCCTCCGGCGGCCTCCACTCCTGTTCTCTCTGTACCGCGGTCCAGGTGGCAGCGGACAGTGAGCCGGAGTGGGCCGAGGTTGGCGGCATCCACAAATGAGAAGACATGTCCGTTCTCCACTGGGCTTCTGATTTGACGATCTGGCACTTTCCTCTCCCATCAGAGGCCCAAAAATGTCCACAAAGAAGGCAGGCAGGTTAAGGCCCCGGTGCTGATGTTGTCAGGTCGAAGATAGAAAGGCAGTTCTGGCTCGGCATCCTCACCTGGAAGGGCCAGCTCCCTGCCTGTGTCCCCCCGGGGTCAGAGGCTGGGAAAATCCATTCAGTGTCATCATCGCTCATGCTTAATGTTGCCTTCGCTTCGCTCCACGGTGACCCCATTACTGTTCCGAGGGGCTTCCTTCTTGTTCCAGTCCTTTTCGGTGTAAAACTCAGCTAGCACAGGGCAGTGTTCAGAAGCTACTCCGCCCCAGGACCAGTTATCTGGAATCCAAGGGTTCGTGAGGCCTTCTCTCACTACAGCCCAGTGACCTGAAGTGGGAGAGAAAAGAGACCCAGAGATCAGGACAGGGGATGGGTGGGGTCACAGGCTGATGGGTGGGGCCAAGGTGGCACGTCTGTAGGACTGGGTTCCCTGACAACACTCCTCAGCTAGCTGCCTTGCCTGTGCAAAGGGAATGTCTCGGCCACTTTGATTTTCTGGACAAGTGAGGGGCTACCATTTAGGCACTGAAGCTACCTGAGTCCAGGCTTCCTGCCCATTCACACACCCGTCAGCCTATGGTTGACCTCCTCCTCACTACACACCTCTTCTAATCGGACCAAAAGGCAGTAAGGGGGGAATAAGTTCTGTAAAAAGAGTAAAAAGAAGAAATCACAGAGGTTTATGAGAAAGTAAAGGTATTTTAAAAATAAAGATTCAGAAAGAGAGGAAGCGGGAGGTATATTTGAAAAACAATGAAATCAACACTGGCAAAGGCCAGCACGGAGCAGTCAGACGGCACTGCTGGGCCCTCAGTGAGAAGCAATGTCACAGCTGGTGTGGCTGTTCCGAGGCCCAGGTTCTGCCCGGACGACAGTTCCTTGATGGCAGCCAGTCCTCCCTGCACCCCAGTTCTCAATCTAACAGCAAGGGGCCAGATGAGTGGCTTTCTAACTTCCTTCCACCCTCCTGGCGGCCCAGGCAGGCTGCACGGCCTCTGGTGGGCAGCGCATCTCTGCAAACCGCGTCTCCCCGAGTCTGATGATCGTCACTCCCTGAAACCCACTTTCCTGGTCCTTTAGAACCTCCCACGACATAATTCAACAGGAAATGGGTGCTCAGAGAAGAGGGGAAGCTGCCTGAGGGTCCCAGTCCTGGCTGCATGTCAGAGTCTCACAGGGCGCCCCCAGCACTGGTACTTTTTAAAATGTTAAATGTCTCACTGCAGTATAATATGCATCTGGTAGTACTTAGCTTCCAGGCAGGATAGAGAACCACTGTCTTTGTCCTTCATCAAGGGACTCTACTGTTGCTTCCATATTTCTGACTCTTTGTTTCTCAAGCCAAATCTGTTCAGCAGGCTACTGGTTTGGGTGGTGGAGGCTGTTTTGCAGCTCTGAGATTACCCACTGCATCCTGGTCCTTGCAGAGTCTGTCAAAGCACTTCTCCCCATCCTATCGTGACACTATGTGACAGGTCTGATCACCCCCACTGCTGCTCCTCAGGGTACTGATGGCATTTCGGTAAACCTCAGGCCACAACATGGTGCTTGCATGCAACAGGGCTTGAGGGATGTTTGCTGAGTAACTAAGTGTCCTTAAAATTGTACCTTGTCCGCTCATCTCTGAACTGGGGCTCTGCTGGCCACAACCAGGTTTGCTGGGACACACTCCGTTGTGGATGAGTGAATGCCTTCTAATTATTTTCACACCCTCCTTCACTCTTAAAAGCGGCTCTGCTGGAATGATAATTATATAGTCACCTAAACGATAACCCTAGAAATGCCCACAGAGGAGGTAAGATAACTCCTGACTCCTGCAAACTGAATGATCTGGAACCATCAGTTTGGACAGGTTTCTCCTACTCCACTCCTGAACAGAAAGAACAAGTGACCTCTGCCTTACCTGTGAAAATCTTCTTTAAGCTTCTACTGATCCAAATGTTGTCCAGAGACCTTGAGCCTTGAGGGTTCTTGGTGCTGATGTTGGTGAAGGTGTGGGCCGGGATGAGGTGATGGAATTTTTCTTTCCTCAAGATATCATAGTCACTGCTGTCTGGCCCCTGGCCAAAATCCCCTAAAACAATCACGTCTTTTTCTCCTGGAAGTGGAAGAAAGAAAATCAGGAATTTCAGAGATGGTGGGAGGTGAGCCCAGCACCGAGCACAGCCCGTCGAGGTGGGCCTGTGATTCTCTGATTTGACTCCCCAGGGTGAAGACCGTGGCCCGGTTCCCATTCTCCCAATTTCTCCAAATACCTCGTGCAAAAAAAATCCCCCCAAACTTTAAGAATAGGTTAGTAATGCATTTGGAAATAGGGGGTGGTGGGGTGCAGAGACCACCCCTCTTCTAGCTCATAGGTTCCAAATCTCGCAGCAGAAAAAGGCTTAAGGGTCTTCCTCAGATAATTAACAAAAGCTCAGCAAACATTTATCCAGCACAGAGGGGAGACCATGTGAAGACACGGAGAGAAGGCAGCCGTCTACAAGCCAGGGAGAGAGGCCTCAGAAGACACCAACCCTGCTGACACCTGGATCTTGGCCTCCCAGCCTCCAAAACTGTGAGGGAAGAAATCCCCGTGGTTTAAGCCGCGTGGTCTGTGGTATTTTGTCATGGTAGCCCCAGCAGACGAATACTAGGTCAATGTGGAAAGCACTTCTCTTTAAAGTATTTTCAACACTTCTCCCAGAGTCTGATTTACACTAGAGTAAGTGGGATAGTTATGAAGTGTCTTCCAAGGTGAGGAGACACTCTGAAAGGAGAGCGGGCCCCAGCGAGACTCGGCGGGACTCCCATCATCTCTGTCCGTCCATCACTAGCTGTCTCGAGGTTCACCGCAGGGGACTGAACGGCGTTGTCACAGGGAGTGCATTTCCATCGCCCCTTGCGAGGGAGGCCTTAAGGTAAGTGGCTTATAAACGAGGGCCACGTGCATCAGAGACGCTCAGCACATCTTTTTCCTTGACACGAGTATGCTTCTGTAATAATGGCCGGAGGGAAAGAAAGCTCAAGTACAATGACACAGGCCACCAGCAGAGGGCACTGGTGCACTGCAGATGACACCCCCCTCCAGTGGGCATAAGGGACAAAAGAGGATGAGACACAAGCCTCGCCTGCAGCTCCACTGTGTGGCCAACAGAGATGTAACTGTACCCCTCACGCTACACTGTAACAACCTGGCACCCAACGCAGTGTGCGCCCAAGCTGTCTTGAGAAATCAGTGGCAGCTTCCAACAGGAAAGCCGACTTGAGAATAATATTAACAACAACTCACACCTGGCCAGTGTTCATGACTGTCCACTAAGCCCTCGCTAAGTGCCAGGTCCTTTCTGCAGGCAAGAAGCTGAGCCTCCGAGAGGTAAAGTGGCTTGCCTAAAGTCACTGAGCCAGCCCTCAAATCCAGGCTCTTAACAAAGAGCTAGAACAGAAGAGCCACGCGGATGTGGGCAGCTGTTTGTCGCGAAACCCCGAGTGCCTGGAATAGTACCTGGAACAGTGCATGCTGCGTGGCAGACACTCCATAAGTACGTGTGGACTGCGTGGGTGAACGAGGCACAAGGAGTACCTCAGAATTAAGGTGCTGTTTATTTTTGAAAGGAAAGAAGAGGAAGATGCTACATTCATTGAATTAGGAAGGAAAACTGAAGGTTATGAAAGACTGAGGCAGAAGGCTCCCACATAATGAGGGAGGTTTCATGGGAACGCAGACCTGAGGAAGTTCAGGCTGAAAAATTCTCAAAGCAGGAGAGATGCTGGTGTGAAGGGTCAATAAACCCAGCCCTGTGTAACTTCAAGAATGAAAATAACAGCTCTCTCTTTGAACAGGACATCCGGTCTCAGACATCTCATCTTCTGTCAGTTAAATCGGCATTGGTGATGACATCGAGGCACTTCTTGCCTCCGAGAATCTGCAGGTGTGCAGAGGCCTGAATTCTCCCAGAAAGCCCCCCCACCACCCTGCCTGGGGTGGGCCCCTTAATCATTCCCTCAGTTCTCAGGAGTCAGGGGAGAATGTTCAGAGCTGCTGTCCTCAGAGTCCCTAGATTTATAAAATGCCAGTGACAATAACAGAAGTGGGTCTCCACTGAGGGGGGACCCACCCGGATGTCCAGCATTTCTCTGCGCCCTGCTTCACCCTTGCTGAGTTCACAGAGCAAGCCCTGGTGGGGTCCGAAAGAAGAAAATTCCAACAGAGGACGGCACTACCCGCTGACGTCAACAATGTGAACACACATTCCAGACAAAGGCAGAAAGGCCCAGAGTTTGCTAATCAAATCGGTTCTGTTTGCTCTGATAGGAGCCTGTGGAATAAAGGCTTAGTCTCTGTTTCAGCTGAACCACCTCTGCGAACCGATTTGCCCTTGTTGCACACGGGGTAGGCTGGAGAATCGGTGGGTCTGCCGTGTCACCAGTGAACAACTAGATATTAGTTACAAGCAGGGGGACGCAGGGAATGTGAGTCACTGTCCACACCTGAACACGTCAAGGCCGAGCCGGGTTGTGGGTCAATAGTCCCTTGGGAACTTGGAACAATAACCTGCTCAGGTTTTCTAACAAAAACCTGACCACTCCCTGGGTATCAGAGAAAACGGTGAGTGCCCAGGGTTATCAGAGAAGTTATGAGCTGGCGTCTTTCCTTTCTGCTTCCGTGAAAGAAAAGGAAAAGCTTGAGATCAAAAACGATAGAAACATCCACAGGTTTTAAAAGCTATCAAGGCATCCTTTTTACTCAGTCTTTAGAGACTAACCATAGCTGAACTGTTTCCCACAGAGCTGCTCTGTGGATGGAGTACCCCGGCTCACACATCTTTCTGACATCTTTTAGCCCAAAGACTCATAAGTTAAGTAGAATGTCAGTCACAGCACACTCTGGTTTAAAACGTAAGTTGCATATCAATGCTCATGGCACCACTACTCACAACAGCCAAAAAATGGAAATAATACACGTGTCCACGGGCCGATGAATGGATACAATGGAAGAGTATTTGGCCTTAACCCAACAGGCACAAGAAAAGATGCTCAACGTCATTAGCTATCAGGGAAATGCAAACCAAAACTACAATGAGATATCATCTCACTCCCGTCAGAATGGCTGTAATTAACAAGACAGGAAACAACAAGTGTTGGAGAAGATGTGGCAAGAAGGGAACCCTCATACACTGCTGGTGGGAGTGCAAACTGGTGCAGCCACTAAGGAAAACAGTATGGAGATTCCTCAGAAAATTAAGAATAGATCTACCATATGATCCAGCTAGTCCACTGCTGGGTATTTATCCAAAGAACTTGAAAACACAAATGTATAAAGACATATGCACATAAGCAGCCTAGGTGCCCATCAAAGGACGAATGGATAAAGAAGATGTGGTATATACACACTATGGAATACTACTCAGCCATAAGAAAAGATGAAATCTGGCCATTTATGACAACATGGATGGACCTTGAGGGTATTATGCTGAGTGAAATAAGTCAGAGGGAGAAAGTCAAATACCATATGATCTCACTCATAAGGAGAAGATAAAAATAACAACAACCAAACACATAGCAACAGAGATTGGATTGGTGGTTACCAGAGGGGAAGGGGGGAGGGAGGAGGGTGGAAGGGATGACTAGGCACATGTTTGTGGTGATGGATTGTAATTAGTCTTTGGGTGGTGAACATGATGTAATCTACACAGAATTTGAAATATATTACAATGTACACCTGAAAGTTATATAATGTTATAAACCAATGTTATCACAATAAAAATAAACTAATTAACTATTTTTAAAAAAGAGTATTTGGCCTTAAAAAGGAAGGAAGTTCTGACACATACTACAACATGTATGAACCATGAAGACATAACGTAATTGAAATAAGCCAGCCACAAAAGGACAATATTGTAGGATTCCACTTACATGGGATACCTAGAGTAATCAAATTCATAGAGACAGAAAGTGGAATGGTGGTTGCCAGAGGCTAAGGGGAGGGGACACTAGGGAGTTAGTATTTAATGGGCACAGAGTTTCAGTTTGGAAAGATGAAAAAGTTCTGGACAGGCCGGCCTAAGGGCATAGTGGTTAAGTTCACGCTCCACTTCAGCAGCCCAGGGTTCATGGGTTTGGATCCTGGGTGTGGACCTACACACCACTCATCAAGCCATGCTGTGGCAGTGTCCCACATACAAACTAGAGGAAGATTGGCACACATGTTAGCTCAGGGTCACTCCTCCTCAAGCAAAAAGAGAAAAATTGGCAATGGATATTAGCTCAGGGCCAATGTTCCTCACCAAAAAAAAAAAGGTTCTGGAGATGGATGCTGGTGATGACTATAAAACAATGTGAATATATTAATGCCACTGAATTGTACACTTAAAAAGGTTAAGATGGTAAATTTTACCTTATGTATATTTTACTACAATAAAAAAACTTTTTTACTTGTAAGCTTATAGTTTGACACATATTTTTTGTAGCAGAATCTTCATGAATCACCCATTGTGAGGGGATATTTAACAAGGAAAAAGCTTAAACAGCTAGAGAATATTCATCAAGACTCAAGAACACAGAAGAGCATTCCAGGCTCCAGCTGTAAACCTTCGCCAAGAGAAGGTCAGTGCTCTGAAAAACCAAGCCAAACTGAAAACATCCCAGTCCTTACAGCCGTGACAAGTTTCCCTTCTGGTAACCCACAAGCAGAGAACCTTCTTTATTGTTGGAAGCAGAGCCTGGAAAACAGAGGGCCCACCTTTCTCCTGAAGTTCTGCTCTTTTCAATGTTCTCTTAATTCTTCTGGTATTTTTCAAGTCAACGCACGTCTGCTGAGCCCCTACTGTGTGCTGGGCACTTCCACAGACAGTAACCGATGCCCCTGGGCACGCTGTGAGGTTAGCACTATCAGTTCCCCCATCAGATGGGCCTCAGTGGGGTGGTGACTTGCCTGAGGTCCTCCAACTGCTGAAGGAGCTGAGGTTAAAATCCAGCCTTTCTGAGAGCTCCAGGCTCCTTCAGCACCATCTGCACCCCACCAGGGAGAAAAACTCTTTACTGCTAATCAGGACATTCCCACTCCCCTTGTCACCAACTGTCTCTCCTTCACAAGGGCACATGCAAATCTGCAGTGACCCCACACAGTGGCACACCCGGGACAGCTACCCAGAATGAACTGTCATGGGGAAGGGAGTCACCACTCCCAACCCCCGATCCTTTCCATCAAAGAGAGGCTGAAGAGCCACAAAGCTGGTGGAACCCATATGGGAGGCCCACAGAGACAAAGATGTCACCACGCACAGGGGTGGCCAGGCTTCAGGTGATGCAGGGGTGTGATGGTCTCCTGTGTCCTCAATCTGTACTGCTGCTGACAGACGTCCGGCAGAAGGGATCAGAGAAACACTGGGAAGAGGTGACCCTCTGCCAACAGCCCAGCCAACGGAGAAAGACACTGTCCTACCTTTCAGGGTCTCCTGCAAGGTCTGTGCAAAGCTAGCCACTCGGTGGCTGTCACTGTGGTTCTTGCTTGGATTCTCGCCCCCTGGAAGGGTCAGGGTTGCCAGGTGAAGGTTCACCAGGGTCAAGTCATTACTTCCCACCTGGGGAACAGAAACAAGAGGACGGTCTTTGATGCTCAGATTTCCTGTATGCGTCACCTCCGACTCATGAATGCCTTCACTCACACGTTGACAACGGTAAACACAAGCAAGGCCAGCTCATACCCCAGGAGATACCGCAAGGCATTCACCGTGAGATTGTCCCCAGGTCCCTGCAGGACAGAGACCTAGCCTGCTCTATCAGCCCACCTGCTACATTACACCCATACCCCTCCTTAGGGCCTGGAAAATTGGGCACAGCTGCAAATGTCAGGGTTGGGTTTTTTCCTTCTAAGCAACTATAAAGAAGGAGGAAGTGGCTTTAGCTCCGGCTGTTAACAAAGACCCGGGGCCCTTATCCATAGGGCCAGCCTGCGATCCCCCTGCCAGGACCCACCGCTGGGACCTGCCTCCTTCCCCACCTCCCACACAGCCCACCCATCCCTCTGTGTTCTCTTCCCTCTGGAGACCGCTACACCCCGATGCTCACTTCCACCTGATTTCAAACATGTCAAAAACGAAAGCTGGCTGAACCCAGGCAGCACAGGATGTGCCCGAGTCCCGCGTCCCCAGGGCGGGGGTGCGGGTGCAGGTGCAGAAACGTGCCAGCGGAGCTGGTCTCCTGAGCACCACGGTGTTGCTTGGCTGCTCGGGGTTTGGCAATCCTGCCCTTCTGTTCACCATGGCAACAAACATACCCACTGCCATGACGGAGGGGGCACCGGGGGAGGCCCTAGGAAGCGCAGGCTGCTACTTTTGTCTTACGAATGTGACCCCAATTTGCAATCATCACCACCCAGCCCAGAGAGCTCTCTGCAGCTGCGGCTCTAGCCACAGGGACCCATCTTCAGGCCATGGGCAGCGGAGCCCTGCCTGGACAGAAGCTGCGTCTGTACCCGACCGCCTGCCCAGCCTCAAACGTGCCATGAAGTACAGGAGGCTGAGTGCCTGTCTAGGGGATTGCTTTATTTAGAGGATTTGGGCCAATAATTGGTGACATGGTAGCATTTTCTCACTGGCCATTAAAAAACAGCCTGTCTTTTAGAGACCCTGGCTGGTTCTGGCTGTTGCCCAGCTTGGCCAAAACCCACAGCCACCTTACATAAGAAAGGGACCCAGTGTGGTGTAGGATGTTTTAAAGATGACACCTGGGTGATTTACACATCAGGACCATAAGTGCAACCCACAGACGGCCCCAGGTGTGTGTGCGTGTGCAGATAACCCAGCAACTCTGCAGCTGTAGGTGTGAGAGGGGCACACTCTTGAGCTAGGGCCCAGCCAGAGCCAACACTGCCCCCCAAAAATGTGCTGGCCCAGCTCCGGGCCACCAGGGAGAAACTGTGCTGGGCTTTGAGGCGACTCTCAGGCCCACAGAAGTCAGGGGGCGGGATCCAAAACGTCCAGAAGGTGGCTTGCTAGGCTCTGCCAGGCAAGGGGTCACTCTTGCTGGACCCTGTGATATCACAGGATAAGGTCAACTGATGGTTGGCTGGTGATCTGTCTTGGCTGCTGGCTTCTCCCACCTGTCCGTTCCCACTTTCCAGGGGCATCCGGGAAAGCAGAGAGGCAGCTCAGCTCAGTCTGCTTGCTGTGCCCGGCTCTGGGAAGACAGACTCGCACGTGGCTGAGGGCTCTTCGGGAGATGTTGTTATGGGGCTGCCCTGGTCCCACAGCCCAGAAGCTCCTCCTGCACCCTCTCCAAACCCAAATGGCCCCTTGAGGGTCCCCCTTCTGCCTGGCAAGGAGAAAGGGCCCGTCTGAGCTCTTCTGCTTCCCTCTAACCCAGCGACTCCCAAATGCCAGACCTGGACAACCAGTGCCGGGAGGGCTGGAGCTGCTTCTGAAACGCAGACAGCCCTGGGCCCCATCCCAGAAATTCCCTATGTCTAGGGGAGGGGCCTGAACCCTGGTTTTAAGAAAATCTCCCCAGATGATCCTGAGATTTGTCAGGTTTGGGAGGCGGCCACCTGATCTTCCTGCCCAGATGTCGGAGTTACTGGAGCTTGAGTCCCGCCAAATCCCTCTCGTTCCTGTCCCGGATGAGTTCACCAGCCCAGGGAACCCCAGAGTGCATGCTGATCCGACCCCGAGAGGGAATAAAATCGAAACAAAATGATGAGGGTTCTCTGGGTCAGAGTTTAGAAAGGGACTTTCTTCTCCTTTTCAGAAGAAATGGACCTTCCCCAGGACAGGGAGTGGCTACCTTGAACCGGGCGAGGTACGGGCTAGGACCAGAGGGCTTCCTGTGCCCATTGCCTGGCGAGCTCTCCTGCGAGGCAGCATCTCTCAGCTCCACCCCGGCCGCAGCGTCCCACAGGAATCCTGAGAAGCCAGCCCCCTGCGGGAGAAGAGGGGTGTGAGGCTGGAGAGGGATCTGTCTTGTGGCCGGCTCGGCGGGCCGAGAGGGCAAAGAGGCAGGAGGGGCCGGGAGAGGCAGCAGGCTCTGTGCTGGGTCCTGCGATGACATGCACAGGGGCTGCTCTGAAACAAAAGTTTACCCCCAAAGCCACAGCACCTTCTTCCTTGTCGTCCCTGCAAATTTCCCACACTGCCAATTTCAGAGCTTTCTGTGCAGCCAGGGGGCTTGGGCTCCTCTCTCTTTGGGGGTAGGGTCGGGGGGAGCCCAGACTAGGAACAGAGTTATCTTTTTAATCATCACATCCCATGAGATAGCCTCTCATACCTCCAATCTGCCTGATGAGGACTCAGCTGCTCAGAGAGGTTACGTAACGTCCCTAAAATCCCACAGCTGGTAAATGGTAATGATGAGAATCAAATATAAGACTCCAAGGGGTGAGTTTTGCTTATAACAACTAGTGCCTACCACCTTGTAAACGCCCAATAAATATTTGGTGGATGAATGTAGGTTGGAGTTGACAGTCCCAGTGGTTTGGAACTGGTCAAGGGCCCTCCTCAGGTGGATGGGGCCCCACACAGGGGTCTGAAGCCCCAGTGCAGGGCCCTGTGAGGGCTGGCAGGTGGGGCAGACAGACGGGGTGGTGTCAGCAGGGTCCCCGGGCCTGGTGCTAAGCCCGTGCAGCCAGAGGGCCCACTCGGAATCTGCCTGCTTTGTGCTGCTGCTGGCATGGGGAGGAGAGGCTTCTGGAAAGAGGAGGGACTTCCCTCCCACCCACCCCAGCCTCTGCTGCCTAGCCAGGATCAGCAGCGTCATCTGAGGGGCCAGCGATGGTCATTGTGAAAGTGAAGGAAGTGACTTTGCACAACCTGAGTGGCCATTGCAGAGTCCCCAGCTTCAGCCTGGGTCCCGGCCACACGCCTTGCTGGGCTCAGCACCTCGACCAAACGGGCAAGTGTCGAGGAGGAGCGAAGAGGGGAAGAGTGTCTTGCATGCATGTGTTGCACGGATCCACCCGTCCCCTCACGGGAGGGAGCACGAGTTTAAGAATTCGAAGACTTGGGTCTCAGTCCCGCCAGGGTCACTCAGCTGGGGGACCTCAGACGAGTCACTCTGTTCTTTTAAACCTGCTTCCTCAGCTGTAAAGTGAGGAAAGCAAAGTGCCTTGTCGGCCTCGCGGGTTATCCCCCGCTCTACTGTTTCCCAAGCAGTGGTGCCAGAGCACCCTTCCTGGGTCCACTCAGGTCACCTTCTGCTCAAAAACCTGCAGTGGCTGCCTGCTGCCCACAGGGCCCCCTGAGCAGGCACCTTCCTCTTCCAGGCTCCCTCTCACACCTGCTCACCTATGTTCCCAGCAGAACTGGGCCTTTCTGGCCTCCACTCTTCAGTGCATGAGGCCCCTTCCCACCTCCTGGGAGCCTCTCCCCACCACCCTGACTGGGGCAGGCCCCTCCTCCCAAAAAACAGCTCCACCTCAACGTGGGACAGTGCAAGGGGCTCAGGCATTAGAGCCAGAGACAGCTGACTGGGTTCGGGCCTGAGCCCTAGCTTGCATCAGCTGATGACTGTCGGGTGCATCATTCCATTGTCCTACACCTTCATTTCCTCCCTGGTAGACTGCACCTCCAGCTGCGGGGCGAGGACTCGAGACATTACAAGAAGGCACCTGGACACCATTTCAGGCCTTGGAGGAATGGAGCTGCTGCTACCAGTGTCTCACATTTGTCTGGGGTAGAGACTGAACACTCATGACTTGATATAGTTTGTTAGACCCAGACCGTGTTTGAAAATTTTTTGGATTATCTGCCCATATTTAAAACTCAGGAAATTTCCCATTAAAACCCAGATATCTGCATCTTTTGAGAGGTCAGGAGATGGTTCCACACTGGGCCACAACACTCCATGGCAACAACTGGCTGGACCTGGACGCCGCTGCAGCCTGAGACAGGCATGCGCGCCCAGCCCAGCCCAGCCTGGCCCGCCGGCCGCCTCCTGTGCACCCCACCAGGCCCGGCCGGCGCTCTGTCAGGGAAGCCCTCCAGTGCACATTATCTTTTCAAATCCCACAGCCGCCCTGTGAGTTAAGGGGGGGCTATTGCTCCCATTTTACAGATGAGGAAATTGAGGCTGAGCGGTTGAAGTGGCTTCCTTGCAACTGCATGCTGTTCTCCAATGGCCTTGACCCTGACCTGGAACTGGGTTACCTGTTTTGTTCCTCCAATAGGCGGTGAGCTCCCTGAGGGAGGGGATCTGCCAGGCTCAGGCTGGGATGCCCCCTGGGCTTGAAAAGAGTGAAAACAGACAGGGCGGGTCTCTGGGTCTGTTTTTCTCACCATGTGTATCTGGCATATACCACAGCGCCTGGCACGTAGTAATCTTTCTAATGATTGTGGAATGGATGAATAAAGACTGTTAGATGGACTATAAGAGCCCTGCGAACCTATGTACGTGCAAAGTGCTATTAAAATAAAAAGCACGATGGTATTATTATTATTATTTCTCTGTGGCCTGAGAAGGGAGAGCCATGGCCCGAGTGGTAAAGACATTACAATTCAGCTCCAGCTCCAGCTTACTGTGAATGTACCCCGGCTGTCACCTCTAGTGACCACTGACACTCCAAAACATAAAACCCAGAGAAATCAGGTGTGTATCACATTTGTCAGTAGTAGCTAAAAAGACAGCTTGTTGTCAATAAATGACTAGATGCTTTTAAGCCAGTCCAAAGTTATCATTCGAAAGCTCCAGATCTCAGTATCACTCATCTAAGTGCTGTTCATGTGTGTTCCTAAGCATAGTAGGTTTACTAGAGATAAAAAATGTAACATCTGCAGTTACAGGAAAACTAGGTGGTGATAGTTTCCAAGTCCTAATCAGGACTATCAGAAGTGTATTTTAAAAACCTAAAAGTCCACTGATACTGACCATTCCAAGTGAGTAAAACCTGGTCTTGAATATGATATGTAAGAGCGAAAACGTACACATACACAGCTTTACCCACAGCCATATGGGCAATACTCATGAAAGAAAAATTCAAAATTAAAATTTGCCGAAAATCTCCACAGAACATTTCTATGATGAAAGTGCACAATTTCTACCACGAAAGCACACTCTTCATGTATGAATTAAGTGAATCTGAAGTTTTCAGTCAATGAACAATGGGCTCTCCACAACCCTGGCAGAAGTTGGAACTGTGGAGAAGGGAGTATGAGGACAAAGGACACAAATCCTCATTCGCTGCCTTGGCTCCAGACAGGGTTTCTCCTCCCCTCCAAACACCCCAAGCTCCCATTTCTGTCTGGGCGGCAGTCCATTCCCGATCTAAACATGAAATGAGAACCAGGGCATTTTGAAATGAATGGCAAAGAGCTAAAAAAATGGGCAGAAATACAGAATTGCATCAAGAATGTTGGCAAAGGAAAATTTTAAATGTCTGCGATTAGGGAAAAAGGCTGTTTCAATGAAATGGAAAGAAAACCCAAGTTGTGCAGATGTGGGTACCTTCTGGAGCTGAGCTGAGGGCGTCTCAGCGACAACAGCCTTCCAGCATCCCCGGGGCCCCTTCCACTTGCGGATGTTGGGCAGGATCGGCTGGTTCAGCTCCGTACAGAACTGCAAAGACAGAGCACACGTCCGGGTGAGATCCCACCTAAAGCAGTTCCGCTGGCAGCAGCCAGAAATGCGTGATCCTGACTCATCGGCCTTACTGGGAGACTTGTTGGACTTCATCCCTGTGCTTCCCAAAACCAGGGATCGCAAAGACCCGGATGACCAAACGAGGACCACAAATTAGAAAGTAAACTACCTATGAAACGCACCGTTACCACCTGGGAACTCTCAGTTCAGAGAAGTCAATTCTCTTTGTAGCATTCTAGCACAAATACTTCAAAACTAGTGTCAGAATCCTTTTGATCCCTGTAAAACCGGTGGTTTCAAGGTCCCAGGAGGGTCTAGATCAGTATCAAACGCAGAGGGAAAAAAGGTGAACACCTGGTGTCTTTGCTGACCAGGGCTTAGCTTAGAGGTGCAACAACTGACACCCGCTTCATCTTCAACTACACATTGTTCACACTGGCTTGCTTCTGAGGAGAAAGGCCTGCTGTCACGGCTACTACACCCCCGTGTATTTGCAGGGTGTGCTTCTTTTTACATATGCATGTCCCACCAACATGGAGTGGGAACTGTGAAGTGACTTTATCACCAAGACAAAATAAAATGCACAAGCAAAGTAAAATGAGGAGTCGAAAAACTACAGGCTCCTGGGGTTGGTTCTTGTGAGGGCTCCCCAGGATTTGCCAGATTGGGGCTCAGTTTTTGAAATGCTCCAACATCTGGCACTGCCCCTTCCCGAGGACACCGTCTTGTCCCTTTGCTTCATGCACCTCGGACCACTCCACTCATTTCTTTCTCTGCCCGGCCCTACGAGAGAGTCTGTAGCTTCCTTCCGGGTGCACATCACCGCTCTCTCCTTAATGAGCTGCCCTTAAACAATCTTAGCACCACAGGATCAGTTTATACCTCTATCCCAAAGGCTCCCAGATCTGTACCTGCAGCTCAGATTTCTCTCCTGAGTTTTGAATTGTATTTTGACTACCTTTTTAACACTTCCATCTGAAGGTCTCTGGAGAACCACAAACCCAGCAGATCCCAAAAGAACAGGCCATTCCCCTCCCCCACCTCCATGAACATCTCAGTTCATTGCCATCCTTCCAGCTGCTCTGACTTTTCCTTCTCCTCCCACATCCCATCTCTCACCCAGCCCATTGATTCTACTGTCACAAGTGTCTGGAGCTCCCGTTTTCTGTTCCCCCGTCCCGCTGTGGACTGTTCTAGAGTCCCTCTTCTCTCACCTGGGTCACTGGCATGGCTTCTAAGAAGTCTCCCTGCCTCTCTGTCATTTGATCACCCTCCACCTGTCCACTGGCTAAGTTGTGATGGCCACACTGATGCACCACCCCTCTGGCTCTCAAAGTGTGGTCTGGGGCCTGGGAACATCAGTACCACCTGGGAACTTGTTGGAAATTCTTTGGCCCCATCCTAGAGCTATCGGATCAGAAACTCTAGTGAGGCCCAGCGATCTGTTTTTTAACAGGCCTTCTAGCTGACTCTGATGTCTCCCTAAGCATCTGCCCCAGATTCGGGTAGTGCTGTGGGCAGACTACTGTCACACTGTCCCCTCTGGGAATGCCTCAGCTGCAGAGAGCTGTGCTCATGCCCTTCCTGGGCAGCTCACATCCAACGTCTGAGCGATGCCAGGGTCTCACACTGCTTACCCTGTAAGAGGGAAGATGAGGCAGAAGCAAGGACTCAGCCAATCACTTCCACAGAGACAAGCGCCGTGGGAAAGGAGACTGGGCAGGGAGGGCATGCCGGGACATCACTGTAGACCTGCCCTGTGCTGGGAGTCAGGCTGCTGTCACAGGCGCATGGCCAAGTGTCTGCCTTTCCCTGCCAGCAAACGCTGTGAGGGCAAGGACTGTACCCAAGCCACCTTTATAAAGCCCACCTGGCACAGGGCATGGCCCCAGTGACACTCTCCAAGCATCTGCTGGTGAACCAGGAAGATGACAGTCCTCAAATCCAGAGACGACAAACAAAAGGGAGAATGTCTTGTTGGAGCTAATTATCTAAATAATTGCCTCAACTATAACCTGACTTCGTGTTTGCCTGTAAAGTGTTCTCTCTGGGATCTGGGCATCGGGGAGTTCTATCAGCTCCCCTTTCAACACTGCCCAGTGCCGAGTGGCCATGGACACTGTTGTTCCTGATGGGGGGCTTTGTCCTGGATAAATCCCCTTGGCCAGATGGTCCTGGCCGAAGCCATCCTCAGATGGGAAATGAAGCATTTGGAAAATGCAACCAGAATTTATCAGCTATAACTTTTGGGATCCAGCGAGGAAATGTACTTCACAAAGGGTCCAATTTCCTGCCGGGGAATCGTCTGCTTGCTGAGCGATCATTAGAGCTGAATCCAAGAATCGTTAAAAAGAAAAGCAGCTCTCCTACGCCCATCTGGTGCTTCGCTCTTCTCCATGCAGGGGGTCCGGACCTGCCTGCTCACCCGAATCTCCTAGGATACACCCCAGGGAGCTCTATTTTTAAAAAGCCCCCAGGTGATTAGCCAACCAGCCAGATTAGACAGCCCCAGCCTCTGGGGGCCACCGGCTGTGCTGGGAGGAGCTACCTGCAGGCAGCCAGAAATCTCATCTCTCCTAACTCTCATGGGACCTTCAGATGCCTGAAGACAGGTGAATCTCCTGTTCACACCCCAACCCCAGCCCGGCTTAAACACTCCATTCCTGAAAATGCCACTTTGATCGGAAAGGTCACAAGTGTGAAGAGGTGGCACAGGCTGACATTGTTTTCCATGCTCACCACTCTCAAAGATGGTCTTTTGGGACTAAAGTTGTGCTCGTCAAAGTGTGCTCATCAGCATCACCTGGGGACTTGTTAAAAATGCAGATTCTCAGGCCCCACCTGCCCTCCTGAATTAGAATCTCGGGGTGCCGCCCAGCAATCTGCATTTTAACAGCTCCTTCGGGTGACTCTGACACAAGTTTAAAGTTGGTATTATTGAATGAAGGAAAGACATTTTCATTTTTTATGCTTTATATTTAAAGCCTTTCCCTCACATGTAAACTCAAGCAGACCTAGAGAACCATAATTCCGGAACCCCAAGGGCAGCCTGTATTCTTCGCATTTGAAGTCTTGCTCTTGATAACCTCAGGCCACAGAGTGGATTACCCCTCTCTGCTCTCTTCTTCAGTATTTCTTATGTTACTGGGGACAAAGACTAATTTAAGGGACCAGGGAGAAAAGTGTCTATGGCTGAAAGCATTCTAATCCTAAATTTTCATGATCAGCGTTAGGGAAAGGGGGGAGGTATTTTCTTCTATTTCTAAGACTGAAAAAAGAATCGCCAGTTTGCTAACTTAGTGGACTGTTGGCCCTAACAGTGCACAAGGGGAGCACCTTTTGCATCCTTGCTACTCAGAGCGTGGTCCATGGATCAGGGGCATCAACCTCACTGGGAGTCTGTTGGACATGCAAACTCTCAGGCCCACCGCTTCAGCATCTGCATTTTCACAGGATCCCAGGCTGATTTACAAGCTCACTGAGGACCCTGCGTCAGAGCCGTCCTACTTTGTACGCACCATCTCTATTACTCCCCACAACCCACAGGAGGCAGACATCCTACCAGTTACTCACGAGCAAAGTGCAGCACGGACAGGTTAGGCCCAAACTGGAATTTACATGAAAGATCACGCAGTTGATATGTTAGAAGGAGGGTGTGAATGACGTCTGTCTCCTCCCCTCTACCTCCTGGCCCAACAGGTGGAACAGGTGGGGCAAGGCAGGCTCCAAAGGTGGGGCCGGCCCCGTTTTACTGAATCATTAAATCTTTTCTCCCCCCAAATTCAAAGGAAAATAAAAGCATCCTCTGAGAGCCCTCAATCTGAACTCTGCCTTAGATTGTTTTATTCAGAACAGCTGGTTCTCAAATTTTCCGTTTAGCCTACATACCAGAAGAAGAAATAATACTCTCATAAGTGAAAGTGGCTCACCAGGGCAGAAAGGCCATTGAACAGGTTCAGGACAGGCCTTCCCAGGATGGGCTACTTTGGCATGTGGAATATTCTGAGCTTTTACCTTTCCCCTAAAGAATTTAAATATTACTGGCCTCGTCATAATAAGAGTTATCACCAGAAACACATTTTTCTAATTACTGCACATCTGCTCTTCTTATTGTCCTATAAATTACCTTTCTCCCCTCTGAAGCCTCAGGCCCTTATCCCATGCCTTAGCTCAAGACAACAAATATACCTCATTTTACCTTTTTGTGTCTGACTCTCTCATGTATGTGGAGTTCCCATGTGTATGAAATTAATTAAAGCTGATTTTCTCCTATTCATCTGTCTCATGTCAATTTAATTCCTAGACCAGCCAGAAGAACCTGAGGGTAGAGGAAAATTTCTTCCTCCCCTATACCATACTGCTGATGGGGCAGCAATACACTCAGTTACTTTGTTGGTTCTTAGTGGTCCTAAGGCCCTGGCAGGCCTCTCCGCAGAACAGGAGCTCACATGGAGAATGCAACATGGACAAGAGCAAAAGCAAAGAGCCTTTCTCTCTCAATCTGCATGGAACAGAAGAAGATTGCTCATTGGCTTACGCTTTACGTTCCCACAGCGCCAGGACGAGGTGTAGCCAACGTGCTCAAGTGCAAACACAGGCATGTCTCCCAGGGGGAGACAGGTCCAACATGGGACAGAGGGCAACATGCTTGGGGCTCCAGGGCCACTTTGAAACGCTCACACAGTATTGCTACAGCACTGCCTCAGAGCCTTTCCCAGAGGTGCAGGAGTCTGCGGAGGGAGGAAGGGTAGGTCCTTCCCTCTGCCCTTGCAGACTCAATGAGCAACTGCCATTTTCCAACATCGAAAGAAAGAACTGGACTTGTTTCCTCGTAGCTTTGGAAGTTTCCTCAGAGGGCTGCCTTCCTGGGCTGGAAGGAGAGATGCATGTAGGAGCTGTACTATCCTGGGCACGTCATTTAACACCTCTATCTCCCAATCTATAAAGTGAGGGGATGCGAGGAGAGGACCTGGCCC